TTGGAGGTTTGGAGTAGATTTAGACTTGAATTGGTGAAGTTGATATTTTGGCGATTTCCGGTTGATAGGCGAGATTTTGATATAGAGGTCGGAATGGAATTCTGAGAGTTGCAGTAGCTTTGTTATGTGATTTGGGATGTGTGTGCAAAATTTCAGGTTATTCGGACGTGATTTGGTTGGGTTTTTTATCAAAAGCGAAATTCGGAAGATTTTTAGAAACTTAGGCTTGAATCTGAGGTGCTTTGGTTGATTTAGTGTTGTTTGAAGTGTTTTGATGATTGGAACAAGTTAGAATAAGGTATTAGGATATGTTTGTGCTTTTGATTAAGGTCCCGGGGGCTTCGGGGTGATTTCGAAGGGTTAACGGAGAAAATTGGATTGTGTTGCAGCTGCTGAAGTTGCTGCTTCTGATATTTTCGCACCTGCGGTTTGGTGACCGCAGGTGCAGCGTCGCATATGCGATGGGATGGGCGCAGATGCAGATTTGAAGGGAGGAGTCAAAAATCGCAGATGCGGTAGAAGGACCGCACCTGCGGAGCCGCATATGCGGTGAGTGGACTGCAGATGCGCTAATAGGTCCGTTAAGTGATTTCCGCAGATGCGGAGGAAAGACCGCATATGCGGTACCGCAGAAGCGGGTATTATGCTGCAGATGCGAAAAGGACTAGGCAGAACATATAAGTTATTTCATTACGCGAGTTTGAGCTATTCCACCATTTTCAACTTCGGCTTGAGAGCTTTTGGACGAATTGGAAGAGGGATTTCAAGGGAACTTCGTTAAGGTAAGGATTTTGGACCTACAACACAATTCTATGATACTATTTCATGAAGTTAGGGCTGTAATTAAAGGAATTAAAGGGCAAAAATGGAGGATTAGGGCTTGAGTTTAAGAGGCCTTTACATGGGGATTTGAGGGGTCATTTGGACTCCGATTTTAGTATCTTTTATATGTATGAACTCGTGGGGAGATAAGGAACCCGTTGGTGTGAAAATTTCCGAATTTCGAGATGTGGGCCCGGGGGTCGGGTTTTGGTAATTTCAGGATTTGTGCCCTTTATTGAATGTTTTGGCTTGGACTTTGTTCCCTTGGCATATTTTGACGTCCTCATTCTGATTTTGGATAGATTCGACGCGCGTGGAGGCCAATTCGAGGGGCAAAGGCGTCGCGAGCTAGAGATTTAGCCGATTCGAGGTGAGTAATGATTGTAAATGATGTTCTGAGGGTTTGAAACCCCGGATTGCACATCGTAGTGCTAAGTTGAGGTGAGACACACACTTGTTGACGAGGGTGGGGTCGTACATTATTTGGGATTGTGGCTTGGTCTGTCCCGGTTGATAATTTTACTGCGTATTTGACTGAAACTTATTTGCTATCATTATGATTTGGGTTGAATGTCATATTTGGGCTTCGTGCCAACTATTTGAACCCTTCGGGGCTTTTTATTGATATTTCCTCGCTGTTTTGACTTACAACTTGAACTCAGTCATGTTATTTTCCACTGTTTTAATACTCAGCCATTTTACTCAGTTTTGAGACTTAAATGATATTTTAAATGATGTTTTGGGCTGAGAAACACTGTTTTACTATTGCACGAGGGGCTTGTGAGCATTTTTGACTGAGTAAGGCCGAGGGTCTGTGTTGTGAGGAAACACTGATACTGATTTGAGGCCGAGGGCCCAAGATATGTACACCATGAGGTGGCTTGATTGATATAAGGCCGAGGGCCTAGATTTGATGCCACGAGATGGCTTGTTATTGCGCTTGGGCCGTAAGGGGCCCCTCCAGGAGTCTGCACACCCCCAGTGAGCGCGGGTACCCATTGTGATCTGAGTTTGAGCCCGAGGGGCTGTTATTGTCCTAAGATGTTGCCCGAGGGGCGGATGTGGTGATACTGTGCCCGAGGGGCGAGCTTCTATTTATTTACTGTACCTTAATTGTCTGTCAATTACCTGTTTACTTGTTGAAAGAGGATTTCAGTTGTCTTTTCACTGGTTTACTGTATTTAAATGATTTTACTGCTTCATTATAGAATGCCTTGTGCCTTGCGTGTTTTCTTACTTTCAGTCATTATTTACATTTGTTACTCACTGAGTTGGAGTACTCACTTTACTCCCTGCACCCTGTGTGCAGATTCAGGCGCATCTGGTCCCGCTCCCAAGTGCTGATTCCTCCAGATTCAGGCGGGCTTTCGGAGATTACGAGGTAGCTGTTGCTGTCCGCAGCCCCGTGTCTCTACTCCTTTATCGTCTCTATTTCATTTCAGACATTGTACTAGTTATGGATTTATCAGAATTCTATTATGACTTTTAGATGCTCATGACTAGTGACACCCCGGTTAGGGCTGTGTATGGGTGATTCTTCCGCGTATTTATGTTATTTTCAACTATTTCGGATTTATTTTATCATGTTTAAACTGTTCTTAAATGCTTATTTGTTTAAAATTGGAAATGGGAAGTGTCGGCTGGTCTTGCCTTCACGAGAGGCGCCATCACGATCGGGTTTGGGGTTAGGGTCGTGTCAAGTTGGTATCAGAGCCTAGGTTACATAGGTCTTACGAGTCATGAGCAGGTTTAGTAGAGTCTCGCGGATCGGTACGGAGACGAATGTATTTTTCCTCGAGAGGCTGCAGAACCTTTAGGAAAACTTCACATTCTTGAACTTCTTGTCGTGCGAATTTGTTGATCCGAGTACTAAACTTCTGTTGTTCTGTTCTCTCACAGATGGTGAGGACACGCGCTACCGGACCAGGTGGACGACCCCCAGTGCCACCAGCTGCGGCCATTAGAGGCCGAGGACACGGTCGTGGCCGTGGTAGAGGCAGAGCAGTGAGGGCACCACCTGCAGATCCACCAGCTGCCCCAGTTCAGGACCAAGTCCCATCTGTGGACCCTCCAGCAGCACCAGCTCAGGCACCAGCTGTGCCTATTGTGATTTCGGGTCTTCAGGAGGTCTTGGCTCAGATCTTATCAGTTTGCACTGGCCTAGCTCAGGCGGTTTCAGCCACTACAGTTGTAGCTACTTCATAGGCCGGGAGAGGCAGTCAGACTCCCGCCGCCCGCACACCTGAGCAGGTCGTGCAGAGACTTCAGACGCTGGGGGCACATCCAGCCCAGCCGATCGCAGCTGCTCAGGACTATGTAGTTCCTGTCATGCCAGAGGATGAGCAGCGTAGGTTGGAGAGATTTGGGAGACTTCAGCCTCCGACCTTCAGCGGAGCAGAGGGCGAGGATGCCCAGGGCTTTTTGGACAAGTGTCAGAGGATGCTTCGCACAGCCGGTATTCTGGTGACCAGCGGGGTCGCTTTCACTTCCTATCAGTTTTCAGGACCTGTTTTTACTTGATGGGAGGATTTTGAGAGGCGTAGGCCTGTTGGTGCAGCACCCTTTTCCTGGAAGCAGTGCTCCGTTCTCTTTCTGGAGAAGTATGTGCCACAGTCTCGCAGAGAGGAGATGCGTAGACAGTTTGAGTGGTTGCGTCAGGGGGAGATGACTGTGTCACAGTATGAGTTGAGGTTCTCTAAGTTGGCTCGTCATGCCATCTGGTTGGTCCCGACAGTTTGAGAGAGGATCAGGAGGTTTGTCGATGGTCTTACTTATCAGCTCTGTATCCTTATGACCAGGGAGAGGGTGATTGGTGCTACATTCGAGGAGGTTGTGGATATTGCCAGGGAGATTGAGTCCGTGCGTCGCCAGGAGCGAGAGGATGGGGAGGCCAAGAGGCCTCGAGGATCTGGTAGCTACAGTGGTGGTCCTTCGAGGGGCCTGTTTCAGTACGGCAGAGGCCGACAGTTCCGTCATGGTCAGTCTGATCGCTCAGGTTATCGAGGAGCGTCATCGGGTCATGGTTCCCACAGTTCACACCAGGGCCATTCTTCACTTAGTGCCCTCCCAGCTCAGAGCTCATCCCGTGCTCCATCTGTTCAAGGCTCTTCTACGCCAAGTGCTTCTGCTGGTCACTCCGGTGTGAGGGGTTCCCATCAGCCCCCTTCTCCAGTGCCTAGGAGTTGTTACGAGTGTTGCGAGATGGGCCACATGTGGAGGCAGTGTCCCCGCCGTGTTGCTAGTTCATCCTAGCAGAGGGGTCAATCATCAGCTTCAGCGCCAGTTGCTCCACCACCACCTGCCCAGCCAGCTAGGGGTGGGGATCAGTCAGCCAGGGGTCGCCCCAGAGGGGGAGGTCGATCAGGGGGCGGTCATGCCCGTTTCTATGCTCTTCCAGGCAGACCCGATGCCATTGCTTCCGATGCTGTCATTACAGGTATTATTTCAGTCTGCCACAGAGATGCCTCTGTATTATTTGATCCCGGTTCCACCTATTCTTATGTGTCATCATACTTTGCTCGCTCTTTGGGTACTCCTCGTGAGTTTCTTGCTTTACCTGTTCATGTATCTACCCCGGTGGGTGATACTATTGTTGTAGACCATGTGTACCAGTCGTGTGTGGTGACTATTGGGGGTCTGGAGACCCGAGTTGATCTTTTATTATTGAGTATGGTGGATTTCAATTTCATTCTGGGCATGGATTGGCTATCTCCGTGTCGTGCTGTTCTGGATTATCATGCCAATACAGTCACATTAGCTATACCGGGTGTGCCACGGATTGAGTGGCGAGGTGTGACTGATTATGTTCCTAGCAGAGTGATCTCTTTCTTGAAAGCCCAGCGTATGGTTGGGAAGGGTTGTCTTTCGTATCTTGCCTTTGTGAAGGATGTTGGAGCTGAGACTCCCAGTATTGATTCTGTCCCAGTTGTGAGGGATTTCCCTGATGTATTTCCTGCAGACCTGTCGGGTATGCCACCGGACAGGGATATTGATTTTGGTATTGACCTGGTGCCGGGAACTTAGCCCATTTCTATTCCGCCTTATCCTATGGCACCAGCGGAGTTGAAGGAGTTAAAGGAGCAGCTTCAGGAACTCCTTGATAAGGGGTTCATTCGGCCTAGTGTGTCACCTTGGGGTGCGCCGGTTCTGTTTGTGAAGAAAAAGATGGCACTATGAGAATGTGCATTGATTATAGGCAATTGAACAAGGTAACAATTAAGAACAATTATCCTTTGCCTTGCATTGATGATTTATTCGACCAGCTTCAGGGAGCAAGGGTATTCTCCAAGATTGATCTCCGTTTGAATTATCACCAGTTGAAGATCAGGGATTTGGATATTCTTAAGACGGCATTCACGACCAGATATGGTCATTATGAGTTCCTGGTTATGTCTTTTGGGCTGACCAATGCCCCAGCAGCGTTCATGCATCTGATAAACAGCGTGTTCCGGCCTTATCTTGACTCATTTGTCATAGTTTTCATTGATGATATCCTGGTATATTCGTGTAGTCAGGAGGAGCACGCGGAGCATTTGAGGGTTGTGTTGCAGAGATTGAGGGAGGAGAAACTTTATGCAAAGTTCTCCAAGTGTGAGTTTTGGCTCAGTTCAGTGGCATTCTTGGGACACGTGGTGTCTAGTGAGGGTATTCAGGTTGATCCAAAGAAGATAGAGGCGGTTCAGAGTTGGCCCAGACCATCCTCAGCCACAGAGATTCGTAGTTTTCTTGGTTTGGCAAGCTATTATCGCCGGTTTGTTCAGGGATTCTCATCTATCGCATCGCCCTTGACCAAGTTGACTCAGAAGGGTGCTTCATTCATTTGGTCGGACGAGTGTGAGGAGAGCTTTCAGAAGCTCAAGACAGCTTTGACCACAGCTCTAGTGTTGGTTTTGCCATCAGCTTCAGGTTCATATACCGTGTATTGTGATTCTTCGAGAGTAGGGATTGGTTGTGCGTTGATGCAGGAGGGTAGAGTTATTGCTTATGCTTCTCGTCAGTTGAAGCCCCATGAGAAGAACTACCCCGTTCATGATTTGGAGTTGGTTGCCATAGTTCACGCGTTGAAGATTTGGAGGCATTACTTGTATGGCGTATCTTGTAAGGTATACACTGATCATCGCAGTCTTCAGTATTTGTTCAAGCAAAAGGATCTTAATTTGAGGTAGCGGAGATGGTTGGAGTTACTTAAGGATTATGATATCACTATATTGTACCATCCGAGAAAGGCCAATGTGGTGGCCGATGCTTTGAGCCTAAAGGCAGTGAGTATTGGGAGTTTGGCTTATATTCCAGTTGGGGAGAGACCTCTTGCGGTTGATGTTCAGGCTTTGGCCAATCGGTTTGTGAGGTTGGATATTTCGGAGCCCAGTCGGGTATTGGCTTGTGTGGTTTCTCGGTCTTCCTTATATGAGCGCATCAGAGAGCGCCAGTATGATGATCCACATTTGCTCGTCCTTAGGGATAGGGTTCAGCATGATGATGCCAGAGATGTGACTATTGGAGATGATGGAGTATTGAGGATGCAGGGCCGGATTTGTGTGCCCAATGTAGATGGGCTTCAGGAGCTGATTCTGGAGGAGGCCCATAGCTCGCGATATTTTATCCATCCAGGAGCCGCGAAGATGTATCAGGATCTCAGACAGCATTATTAGTGGAGGAGAATGAAGAAAGATATTGTGGGATTTGTAGCTCGGTGTCTCCATTGTCAGCAGGTGAAATATGAGCATCAGAGATCGGGTGGCTTGCTTCAGCGGATGGATATTCCACAGTGGAAGTGGGAGCGGATCACTATGGACTTTGTAGTTGGGCTTCCACGGACTTTGAGGAAGTTCGATGCTATTTGGGTGATTGTGGATAGGCTGATCAAGTCCGCGCACTTTATTCCTATCTGTACTACTTATTCTTCCGAGCGGTTAGCAGAGATATATATCCGGGAGGTTTTCGGTTTCATGGTGTCCCAGTTTTCATCATTTTAGATCGGGGCACTCAGTTTACTTCCCAGTTGTGGAAGCCTGTTCAGCGAGAGTTGGTACTCAGGTACAGTTGAGCACAACTTTTCACCCTCAGACGGATGGGCAGTCCGAGCGCACTATTCAGATATTGGAGGATATGCTACGCGCTTGTGTTATTGATTTCGGAGGGTCATGGGATCAGTTTCTACCGCTTGCAGAGTTTGCTTATAACAACAGCTACCAGTCGAGTATTCAGATGGCTCCATATGAGGCTTTGTACGGGAGGCGGTGTAGATCTCCAGTTGGTTGGTTTGAGCCCAGTGAGGCTAGGCTATTCGGGACAGATTTGGTTTAGGATGCTTTAGATAAAGTGAAGGTGATTCAGGACAGACTTCGTATAGCGCAGTCGAGGCAAAAGAGTTATGCTGACAGGAAGGTTCGAGATGTGTCCTACATGGTCGGTGAGAAGGTTCTGTTGAAGGTCTCACCCACGAAGGGTGTTATGAGATTTTGAAATAAAGGGAAGTAGAGGCTGCGGTTCATTGGGCCTTTTGAGGTACTTCGGAGGATTGGAGAGGTGGCTTATGAGCTTGCCTTGCCACCCAGCTTGTCTAGTGTGCACCCAGTGTTCCATGTTTCTATGCTCCGGAAGTATATTGGAGATCCGTCCCATGTTCTGGATTTCAGCACAGTTCAGTTGGAGGGTGATTTGACTTATGATGTGGAGCCAGCAGCTATTCTGGAGCGTCAGGTTCGGAAGTTGAGATCAAAAGATATAGCTTCAGTGAAGGTGCAGTGGAGAGGTCGGCCCGTGGAGGAGGCTACCTGGGAGACCGAGCGGGAGATGCGGAGCAGATCCTCACCTGTTTGAGGCTTCACGTATGTTTCTTGACTCGTTCGAGGACGAACGTTTGTTTAAGTTGGGGAGGATGTGATGACCCGGCCGGTCGTCTCATGAGTTACCGCTCCGTTTCCCCCAGTTCTGCTTCTTTATGCTTTGTTATCTGTGTTTTGGTGGTATCGGGTTGGTCGGATTGGATTCGGATTGGTTTTGGTGAAGTTTGAGACACTTAGTCTCATTTAAGGAAGTTTAAGTTGGAAAAGTCAACCGGATGTTGACTTATGTGTTAGAGGGCTCGGATGTGAGTTCCGACGGTTCGGTTAGTTTCGGGAGGTGATTTATGGCTTAAGAGTGTGATCGGAATGGGTTTTGGAGGTTGGGAGTAGATTTAGGCTTGAATTGGCGAAGTTGATATTTTGGCGATTTTCGGTTGATAGGCGAGATTTTGACATAGGGGTCGGAATGGAATTTCGAGAGTTGCAGTAGCTTCGTTATGGGATTTGGGATGTGTGTGCAAAATTTCAGGTTATTCGGACGTGATTTGGTTGGGTTTTTTATCAAAAGCGGAATTCGGAAGATTTTTAGAAACTTAGGCTTGAATCCGAGGTGTTTTGGTTGATTTAGTGTTGTTTGAAGTGTTTTAATGATTGGAACAAGTTAGAATAAGGTATTGGGATATGTTTGTGCTTTTGGTTGAGGTCCCGGGGCCTCGGGGTGATTTCGAAGAGTTAACGGAGAAAATTGGATTGTGTTGCAGCTGCTGAAGTTGCTGCTTCTGATAATTTTGCACCTGCGGTTTGGGGACCGCAGGTGCGGCGTCGCATATGTGATGGGATGGCCGCAGATGCGGATTTGAAGGGAGGAGTCAGAAACCGCAAATGCGGTAGAAGGACCGCAACTGCGGAGCCGCAGATGCGGCGAGTGGACCGCGGATGCGGTAATTGGTCTGTTAAGTGATTTCCGCAAATGCGGAGGAAAGACCGCAGATGCGGTACCGCAGAAGCGGGTATTGTGCCGCAGATGCGAAAAGGACTGGGCAGAACATATAAGTTATTTCATTACGCGAGTTTCAGCTATTCCACCATTATTAACTTCGGCTTGAGAACTTTTGGATGAATTGGAAGAGGGATTTCAAGGGAACTTCGTTAAGGTAAGGATTTTGGACCTAAAACACAATTCTATGGTAGTATTTCATGAATTTAGGGCTGTAATTAAAGGAATTAAAGGGCAAAAATGGAGGATTAGGGCTTGAGTTTAAGAGGCCTTTAAATGGGGATTTGAGGGGTCATTTGGACTCCAATTTTAGTATTTTTGATATGTATGAACTCGTGGGGAGATAAGGAACCTGTTGGTGTGAAAATTTCTGAATTTTGAGACGTGGGCCCGGGGGTTGGGTTTTGGTAATTTCGGGATTTGTGCCCTTTATTGATTGTTTTCGCTTGGGCTTTGTTCCCTTGGCATATTTTGACGTCCTCATTCTGATTTTGGATAGATTTGACGCGCGTGGAGGCCAATTCGAGGGGCAAAGGTGTCGCGAGCTAGAGATTTAGCCGGTTCGAGGTGAGTAATGATTGTAAATGATGTCCTTAGGGTTTGAAACCCCGGATTGCACATCGTAGTGCTATGTTGAGGTAAGACACATGCTTGTTGACGAGCGTGGGGTCGTACGTTATTTGGGATTGTGACTTGGTCCGTCCCGGTTGATGATTTTGCCACGTATTTGACTAAAACTTATTTGCTATCATTATGATTTGGGCTGAATGCCATATTTGGGCTTCGTGCCAACTATTTGAACCCTTTCGGGGCTTTTTATTGATATTTCCTCACTGTTTTGACTTACTACTTGAACTCAGTCATGTTATTTTCCACTGTTTTACTACTCAGCCATTTTACTCAGTTTTGAGACTTAAATGAAATTTTAAATGATGTTTTGGGCTGAGAAACACTGTTTTACTATTGCCCGAGGGGCTTGTGAGTATTTTTGACTGAGTAAGGCCGAGGGCCTGTGTTGTGAGGAAACACTGATACTGATTTGAGGCCGAGGGACCGAGATATGTACGCCACGAGGTGGCTTGATTGATATGAGGTCGAGCGCCTAGATTTGATGCCACGAGATGTCTTGTTATTGCGCTTGGGCCGTAAGGGGACCCCGTCCACGGAGTCTGCACACCCCCAGTGAGCGCGGGGTACCCCATTGTGATGTGAGTTTTGAGCCGGAGGGGGCTGTTATTGTCCTGAGATGTTGCCCGAGGGGGCGGATGTGGTGATACCCTGCCCGAGGGGGCGAGCTTCTATTTATTTACTGTACCTTAATTGTCTGTCAATTACCTGTTTACTTGTTGAAAGAGGATTTTACTTGTCTTTTCACTGGTTTACTGTTTTTTTAAAATGATTTTC